TTTGTTTGTTTACCATAGTGTTAAAAAAAATCTGAATGTGAATGCTTTTAGGTGAGGGCATGAAATCTTCATTTTGCTACAGTCTCCTCTATTCCCTATTGCCTTATACCCAAGTACTTCACTTTTTTCATAGCTTATGACTGATGAGCACTTGTACATCCAGGTTAGAGTTATCCTGCACATGGACACATGGGGAGGCAGCCTGTTTTTCCCAGTAGTACTGTCTGAGGGCCAAATATTTCTGAGGCTGTTCTTCAGGTACTGCCTTCAGAATAACTTAGTATCACACACAGGAAAACCAGACTCCTCACTCTGTAGCCATGTCATGGTTATTTTAAGAAATGACATCCTCAGGGTGCACAGCATTTAGTCCTCCTGGAAAAGTACAAAATTTTACCTGAAATTGACATTAAGAATCTTTGAATTGATGAATTTGAGATAAAGACCCCAGAATCAGTAAGCTCTGTCTCCACGATGAGACAGAAGAGAGGCCTCTTTTCCATGCATTATTTCTGGGGGAAGAATGAATGAATTCTCCAGAAGTTGAATTCCATCAGCTCAATGCCATCTAAGTTGCTATGGAGACTTTGTAAACCACTAAGAACCCAGGGCTGGGGCACTCTCTAGCTCTCTCACATTCAACAGAAGTACAATGTGAGCCACAAGTGCAAGTCATTTGTATAATTTTAGATTTTCAAAAGTGGTCATCTTAAAAAAAAGTATTTAAAAAGTTGAAGTTAATTTTAACAATATATTTTGTCATTTAAAAATTTAACAAATATAGAGAATCATTGAGATATTTTTCCTCTTTTGTTATAAGTGTTTGGAACCCAGTGTGCAATTTACACTAGAACATATCTCAGTTTGGACCAGGTTCACTGCAAGTGCTACACATGGGTAGTGGCTACTGCATTCAACAGTGCAGATCTACCCTCTCATGGAGAGGCCAACATGGGGAGGGAGGTCTCAGAATGTGGAAAGACCTTCTTGGGTTGGCCAGTTCCATGGCCTGCCTGTGTGTGCTCTTGTTGCCCCAAATGCACTGGCAGTTGGACCATTGACTCATGTGCTAGCTGCCATTGTTTCCTTTGGACTGAGGGACTTAATTTTAGCCCGGTTTCCTGGCACTGTGCCAACTTTCCTCTGCGCTTCATTTCTTCCCTCTCTAGTCCTTGCATGTCATTGCAACATAATTCAAAGCTTTGATGGGCTAGGATCCAATGTACCCAACCCAAACAGGAAACTGGCTTCCTCATTATTTATTTGAAACTTATTTAAAATCATGAACCAGAAAATGTTGGACACTTGTTTTCAGTACTTCATTGAGCTGTAACTGAATTGAACCTCAGCAATTTCCAGTGGGGCTTCCGATGTGGAATGATTTAGAAGCCTGAACTGTGAGATCAAGAGAACTAATTAGAACATGAATTGACCCTAAGTTTTCCCTGCCTGAGCATGATCACATCTTGTCCTTTGCTTAGAATCTTATTGGTTAGAGGTTATACAACCTTGTATGAGTCTAGGGTATCCCAAAATACTCTGGGACTATTCCCACCAGTATTCCATAAAGAATCTCTTGCGTAAAAGTTCTTGGTCTAGATTTCTGTCCCAAATCCCTTTGTGAATCCCACAAAAGACAGTCTTACCTGTCACCGTGTCTCTTTCTTGTGTGTGCACATAGGAACTATGCACTATATGGTGGTACTATATACCATGTAGCGGCCATGTTGGCTGCCTGTCCAATGGCCATTCCGCTTGCTTTTGCTCCAATATGGCAGAGTTCACCTGTTACGAGAGAAGCTGCATACCAGACGCACACTTTCTCAGACATTTTGGCAGCCATGAATGGCCATACAACCCAGTTCTGCCAAAAAGACACAAGTGAAAATATTTTGGAGGAGCCTCTAAGAAGGATTTCCCTCCCTGATAAAGAAGAGGAACAGGAGAGAATGACCCTCTTGAAACTCTGTTTGCCCACCTTCTTCTTGATGTGGTTATGATGTATGTAAGCAGGGCAGTCATATCATGACTATGAGGCAACAAGCTCTAGGATGAAAGTGAAGCTTTCTGAGGATGCTGAGAACGATGAAGAAGATGGAAAAAATTGCACCCTTGATTACATCATTGAGGACCAAACCTGGAACTTCCTACGTTTAGGAATAAAATTTCTGTCATTTTAATCACTTTTTTGTCAGGTATTTTGCTACTAGCAGGCAAAGGCATCCTAACTGGTATGGATGCCTGGTACTTGATGATATATTCTTGCCTTCGTTTTTTAGAAGAAAGAGGAGGTCACTGACATACTCTTCCCTCACCTTGTCACCTGGCTGACTCTTACTCATCATGATCACCACACTATATTATATTACTCCTTTACTTGTCAGTTTACCTCAAAGTTTTTGTGAGGGAAGAGACCATGGCTGTCTGGTTCACTATTGTAGTTTACAGTTCCTGTTATGTAGTAAACGGTAATTCAATAAGTGAATGAATGAATGAATGGGGGCTATCAAGGAGGTGGGACCCTCAGCGCTTGGGTATCTATTTCCTGGAGGTGAGAGAATGAAGACAAGGATGGCATCCTGTTTCTGGCTTTTCCAGTTGGGTGGAGGGTGCTGCCTTTCTCCATGAGTCAACATGAGAGGGAGAGAATAATCTAAAAAGATGAGTTTTGTCCTGGATTTGTTGAGTTTGAGGAAGTGCTTTAGAAACAGTCCCTGTAGGGAGTTGAAGATAAGGTCTAGATTGAAGCATGAGAAGGATGAGATTGGCAAGGATGAATGTACAGCATGAAAGGAGAAGTGAGCCTTCAGTGCTCCATTGATGATGTGGCACCACCATTCACCTTATGGCCCAAGCTAGAAATCAGGAAGTTGTCCTTGTCACCTCCCTCTCCCTCATCCTGCAAATCAACTCATCACCAAGTTCTGGTGATTCTGCCTCCTGTCTGTCATATCCATGAATGTCTCTCCAACACCACTGGAGTCCAAGTCACCATCACTTCTCTCCTGTACTACTGCAGTGGCCTCCCAGTTGGTTTGTCGAATTCACTCCAGTGCCCTTTCATTCATCATAATCCAGCCACAGCAATCTTCTCACTCCTTGAAAGCACCAATCTCCTTGTCTCAAGGCCTTTATCCACAAGGTTCCCTTTGCCAAGGGTACCTCTCCCTCCACACTCCACCTTCTTACACCTCCTGCCTATTCCCTAGATCTCTGCCTAAACCTCACTTCCTCATGGAGGCCTTCCCTAACTACACACCCCCTCACCCTATTGACTTCAGAAACTTAACTTTTTTTGGAGCACCATGTGGAGGGTGTGTGATTTTGTGATCTGTAAAGTTCGTTAAGTAAAAATTTAAAAGACATACATAAAAATTAGAATTATCAACCAAAGTGAGAAATGTAGCTATCAAGGATCAGAACTCATCAGTGTGGACACATGTGTTTTTTACCCTGTAAGACAAGTTGACACAGGAAGCCAAATAGCTTGTGAGTACAGGATTGGACAAGAAACAAAAGTTGCTTGGTTTAAATAGTTCAATTTACTAAACCATAATACCCCCAGTGCCATTTCCCCTACAGAGCTCACCCTTGACACATGTGGCTGTCCCACCCCCCCCCAAACTTCCAGTACTGAAGACCCCCTTCCTAGGTTTTCCTCCTTCCCCTGAGCCTCAGTGGTTGACTTGCAACCCATCAGGTGGACTTAAGCTTGCTTTAGATATGTTCACACCTACCGGGTTAATATTAAACAAGGTTAAGTCAGTCCTGGGAGCAATTTTCTCTGTTAGATGACTTTGTACATGTCTGCTCTGATCTACTACATCTACCTTTTAGTTTTATTAAGAGCTGCGAAAGCAGACCATACTTATATTTCATTCTTTAAAAGTCTATTATTTACTATATTCATTTATTCAGCCTTAAATTCCTTCAGGATCTGAATTGTTGATTGTTTTGGAAAGTGGAACTCCACGGCCTTGAAGCTATTAGCCCTCCTAATGGTCTGGGGATTGTCAGTGTAGATTCAAAACGAAGATGAAACTAAGGAGGGAAGCTGTTTGGAAGGAAGTGGATACGGAGAAAGGCTGAAAACAGTCCTGTGTATGAAATCTTGTCTTATGTTTACTAACCACAAAAATACTCTTGCAAAGTTGTTTATAAGAAGCTTCCTTAGAAATTCCTGGTTTCTTTTAAAAGTAGCTTTGATCTTGACGTATTCCATGCTAATCACATATCATGGGTAACAGGCAAGTTGGCTCCTGTAGCTCCTGAAGGTATAGCGTGTCTTCAGCATAAGAGCCTCACAACCTGTCTTTTGTCACCCAGACAAAAGAAGACATAGAATGACCAGATCACTCTGGTAAATTTATTTGATTTTACCTTGAAACCATAGGTAGGAGAGGTTTTATTGTGACAGAGGGCACTTCAATAGGGACAGCCCATTGTGGCTTCTTTAGTTTCCTTTTAGGGCTGATTTGGAACTTATCATTCAAATTTGTTGAAGTAAATTTCCCTTCTTAGCATATTTTCTTTCAAATCTGCCAACTGTGGTGAAGGGAGGTGGAAGAGAAGTGCTTCTGTGGCAGAGACAAGCATGGATGTGGGTTCAGCCTCAGGGTCTAACATTCTGATAAGTGGCTTGTCCTAGAGAGCTGACCCCTGAGGCATGCTGTGGCCCAGGGTCAGCCCTGATGGGGGTGCCCAGGACCTGTCTGGGAATGCATGGAAGTGGCTCTCAGGATATTGATCTCAAAGTGTTAGGAGCATGTCCTGAACAACTGTCTTCAGTTACTCATTCTCATGAGTATACCCAAGGGGAGTAAACCTCTCTTGAGAGGATACCCAAGGGGAGTAAACCTCCAATCGAACAGGGTTTACTCCACTATACAGCTGGTACTATTACCAAGTAAAGGAAAGAATAAGGATAGAACATAAGCAATACCTACTTATGCTTGTGATTGTTCATCTACATGATGGCTATGAATGGCACATACACATTATGAGCTGTGGGCATAATTTATTCACATACTTGCATAGAAATGTGTTATACAGACATTAGGAAAACATATAAGTGCTCCCTACAAATACTCAATTTTAGGATAATAGTAACAAATATAGCTTGAGAAAATGAATATTATTTAAATTAGACAATGTACAAGGCTTTGCAATGTTCCTGTTTAAGGATTTGTGTGAGCACAAGAAGATGCTGCACAGCAGTGCCCTTTTCTGAAGATCAACTTGGGTCCATGTTAGAGGCCTCTGGTTCACTCAGCCACAGCCTAGATTCTTCACTGCAGATGATCTTTGGTTATACTTGCTTTTTTTTCACCTACAATTCTTCTTTCACACATTCCCTAACAAGAAAGGTTTCAGTTCAAACACTGAAAATTGAGCTTCCCTATAGCAAGATCCATAAACTACGACAGTTGCAAAGTTCATAGTTTCAAAGGCTTTGGTCAAAAGGTTTTAAAATTGGAACAGTGTGTGCTTGTTTGCTTTCCTGAGAAAGGGAAGAAGTGAGCTTCTCCCTAAAATATTTGTAAGTTTACTTCCTTATTTCTGTTTATTCATTCAGCAAACTGTATATTGTGCACTGAGCACTGCAAACTCGAAGTGGAAAAAACCTTCAGGATTCCGAAGTTTCACTTTCCAACCTCCAAAACACTGCACGATACATACTGAAGTGGAAGGCAAATGAACATGACTTCCTTTTTAAATTAATTAATTAATTATTTTAGAGAGAGGTTCTTGCTCTGTCACACAGGCTGGAGTGCAGTGACATGATCATAGCTTACTGCAGCCTCAAACTCCTGTGCTCAAGCTATCTTTCCACCTCAGCCTCCTGAGTAGCTGCTGCAGACGTGTGTTGCCACACTTGGCTGATGTTATTTTTGTTTTTTTAGAGATGGGGTCTTGCTGTGTTGCCCAAGCTGGGCTCCAGAGATCCTTTTACCTCCATCTTCGAAAGTGCTGGGATTACAGGTGTGAGCCACTGTGCCCAGCCCCTGAACATGACTTCTGTTGCTGTCTTCAGCATGTTTGGTCACAGAGCCTTTACAGAACTGATAACTTTTAAATTAAGGAGAGGAAAACAGGAGAATCCTTACCTGTATTTTTTCTTTTTTTCCTGAGACAGGGTCTCACTCTCTCTCCCAGGCTGGAGTGCATGGTGTGATCTCAGTTCACTGCAGCCTCCATCTCCTGGACTCAAGTGATTCTCTCACCTTAGCCTCCTGAGTAGCTGGAACTACAGGCGCCCACCACCACGCCTGGCTAATTTTTGTAATTTTTGTAGATACGGGGTTTCAACACGCTGTCCAGGCTGGTCTTAAACTCCTGGGTTCAAGCAATCTGTCCACCTCAGCTCCCCAAAGTGCTGGATTATAGGCGTGAGCCACCATGCTCAGCCTTCATTTCTTTTTGGTGGTTCAAATGCCATTGGTTTCTGAGAGAGAATATTGTGAGTGTGCAGAAAATAATGAACTTTTATTCATTAAGAAATTCAACAACTTATAAAAATAACACCCATAAGCAATCTGACCTTCGCCCTCAGTTTTTATAAGACATCCTCAAATGAATAAGAAATATGATTTTAAAGAGCCCTTTGGAGGTTGGTAACAATTCTATGCATTTGTGGCACTTACAAAATCAATGTAGGGGCTAAAGTGAAAATACCTGAGTATTTCTTAAATACAGTATGTAAGTTTTCTTTGATATCTAAGAACAGGTTAAGCCAGGAACTTCTCCTATTTTGTCTCTTTTAAAACAGATCATTTTTCATATGGAAAAATAATCTCTACCTAAAAAATCCTTTACCGTCTGTGAGAAAAGTTGCAATACAGAATAATTTTGCTGGACAAAATTCCTTTCTCCCTCTTGCAGTCCCATCAGTCTGAAAAACTCCAACTATGTCCCATGAGAGAATGCCACACACACAAGGGACAGGGTGCAGGCCATTGTTTGCAGGAAGTGGGGACCGAGCTCAGCTGTCAGCTTGCACCTCTGCAATACTGACACAGGCTGTAATTTGTAACTTGCATTGATTTTTTTTTTTTAAAGCCAAATTGCTTATCACAGAATTGTGAATTAACTTCAATTTTGTGACTGTGAATTCCATAAGGCTTAGTTGGTTTATGGGGTTTAATTTTTAATACTGTTAACATCATCCGGCTAGTGAAACACCAAGAATATCAATAAATACCAATAGTTTGTTTTTACTTCCTCCTCCTGTTGGAGCACTTTGACTTTCTATATGTTCCAGTCTTAGTGCCAAGCCCCCACTGGGCTTTCCAATTCCATATCAGAGCATATCACCTAGATGTGGGTCTCATATGCTTGAGAATATTCCTGGAGTTGAACGGAAAATATAAAATGAGCATAAGAACAGATCGCAGATGCGTTAGTACGAAAGTTGATAGTCTTGAAAAACAGCAGTTTGCTGAGACCCAGGAAGTTAGCTGGAGCAGTCAGGCAGAAATGACTCGTGACCATGGCTGCAGATGGGGCTTATTCTCACAAAGGGCTTTCCACTATCCTTTTCTTGGTTTGCAGGTAGAAGATGCGGTTTTCTTCAGGATAAGTAACTTTACTGAGGGGCATCTTGTAGATGTTGGAATTTTTTGTGGTCATGATGAGGAACAATAACGTGGCCAAGCAGAAGGGCCAGGTACAAGCTGGCAATCCAATCTAGGAAAGAAGAGAAAGCCACATGCTCCTTTCAGATCCCATCTGACAGCTGGGCTGCACAAAGCATCCCTCTCTACTCGCATTCAGCCCAGGGGGATGAACCACTGGGGACACTGCTATGGATTCTGTGCATGCTCATGGAGACTGAGTCTACAGTCTCAGGACACTGAGCAGTTGGAATGTTGACATCCATTTTTTAGGGTAGCCACTTATGTCTCTATCTTGTATGTCTTTCTCTCCCTCTTGTATATTCAGATTTCCTGTACCAGATGTGCCAAAAGGACACTTGACAGCCAGAGATGACACTTGCAAACTGAGATGGCCCCTGACCACTCATCATGTATGCAAGGCCTTCTTTGATTAGTTCAACCCACAGTGACCTCTCTAACCTTGACTTTTGCCTGGTCTAGGTCTTAGACTTGACTTACTTTGTTTCTTTCGATTCTGTTTCCCAAATAGACTCTAAGTTCCTTGAGGGTAGGCCCTCTTTGTGTTGCCCATGGAAACACATAATTCTGAGCAATACACCATTGGTTAGCTCTGGCCAATGCATGGACCTCCCCAGGGTGTGATGGAGTGTAGGGGTACCCTAACATGACTTTACATAGAATCATCTGGGGTAGTTAAAAAAACACATATGCTTGAGCATCATACAAGACCTACTCTATCAGAAATACCAAAGGACAGGGCCTAAGGCTCCATATTTTTCTGCCTTCCTAGCTGACTCTGGTGTGCAGTTTGCCCATTTGGGTCCATGGACTGACGCCTGTGAACCTTCTTCGTTGACATGTGAAGGGCCCCCTGTGCTCTGATATACTCTCCATCATGCATGGCTGTAATGGGACTTCGGCTTTCTACCAGAAAGACACTCTGTCTCCTTAGGGACCCTCCCAGATAATATCTCCATGCTTCTGCCAAGAGGGCTAGATACTGCCTTGACTCCTCAGCATCCATGACCATGTCAGCCTGGACTGAGCTAACAGAAACTGGCCCGGCATCACCTGCAATGGAATATCTGGTTTTCTGGTTAAGTGAAAGATATCCTAAAGTCTACTTCTTATCACTCAGAGTTAGTCTCTGAACTTGATAATATATTATACAACCCAAGTTTCATTTTTTTTTAACCAAGCAATCTGATATTTGTAACATACTGGGTGATTGTGGATTAGACTAAAATTTGCTGTGATGCTGAAAGAAAGGCCAGGCAGCTCCAGCAGAAGGGAGAGCAGTGTTTCTCATGGTCATGGGTCCTGCCACTGGATGCCACTACAGTGGACTTCAGGAGCGCTTCCCATATAATTGAAAGCTGGTCAGTTATGCTAATAAAAAGTGAGATTAAAGCAAACTCACCCCAGCCATTAAGTTTGCCATGCCGACTCCAAGATAGGCTGTGAACAGGGCTATAGAAAAAAAAAAAAAGAGAGAGAGAGAGAGAGAACAATGCTTGGTAGATGCACTTGTAATCACAGGAAAGGCTTTCTTCCAATATAAATCACCTAGAATGCACAGTGCCCTGGTTACAAGCATGAGCCTAAAGTCAGCAGTCCTGGGTTCAAATCCTGGCTCCACCACTTAGGAGCTCCAGGGACTCTGTTTTAACCCTCCATTTCCTCACCTGTACAATAAAAATAAGAGGAATATTTCTTTCATGGTGTTGGTGTGAGCTTGAAAGTAAATAATGCATGTGTTTAGCACACAGTAAGTGCTCAATAAAGGTAGTTTTCTGTGGTTACTATTTTGTTGTTATTGCTGATACTTAAGGGAAAGTCCTTCCATGGCAATTAACTTCTCTGATGTTTATCCAAGCAAGGCTGAATTAAAATGAAACTTCTGAATGTTTCTTGAGATAGCATGGTTTCTAAACAATCTCTCTGCCTCTAGGATTCTCATATTAATGAACTGAACTCCCAGCTACAAAAAATCACAGTGCTTGCTTTGGCAGCCCATGTACTCACAACCGAAACCAAACCATGTACACCAAAATAAGAAGGAAAGAACTCAGAGAACAGCAGGAACTGAACACCAACTCAGGATTCCTCCCCTTGATAACATCTCCAATACCATTAAAATCAATGAATAGATGCCTTATGTTTTTATTTACTTTGAGTGGCCAAAAAAATTGTAGAGTCAGTAATTTGAGTATAGGCGTGACTTTCCATGTAAAACAACAAAAGCAAAGATCCCAACCAGCGAATTACCTATTCCTCAGTTTTGGTTGAAGAGGAGGCTCACGGAGGCTCAGGGAAGCCCTCAGGTTTCATGGGGACAGCCTGAAGAATGGCCTTCATATAATGGCCACACAGCCACTTGGGCCACCAGAGCTCACCGTTAGACATACTCCCCATCTCGTCTTCATGTCTGGTGAGAAATCACATCAGCTGTCTTGGTGTGTGGGGATGTAGCAGGACATGGTGGGAGGGCCTCTGTGACCCTCACTTACTTTACCATAGACTTCTGTCCTTTTACTAATATGTTATCTTTTTATCCTGGTGTTCCTTATTCAATAGTAGATCAAATGTTTTCAGGTCTGAATTGTCTCCCACTAGCAGGAAGGGCTGGTCTTTGGAAACAGTACTGGTTTCAAATCCCAGCTCTGCCATTTGATTTGTTGTATAACAAATCACTGAATGTCTTGGAATTTAGTTTTATCATCTGTGAAAAGCAACTTGAAGATCTGCCTTACTGGGAGGTGATGAATCTCAAATGAGAGGTTGTATTTCCACAAACAGATGTGAATGCATCTCTTTCACCATGGGACTAAGCTACTGCTCTGAGCAGAAGGGTGCTCATGGCTTGGCTTAGAAGGGTTTCTCTACTCAGTCACATCAATTCCATTCATTGTTAAAGTTTTATTAATCAATTAATTCCACAACTATTCATTGGCCCTCTGCTAAGCACCGGGGCCCTTTGTCCCTGCTCTCTTGAGTGCCCCCTCTGCCACAACACTGCCCTTGAGCACATGAGACCTTATTACCTTCTCTCTTTTTGAGTCCCACTATGATAACCCAGCCAATCGAGAATACAAAATGTGTTTACAGTTTCCACTAATAAAGAACAACATTGAGATATTCTCTGCAGTTGTTCTGGCTTAGAGGCCAGATAAGAGCAGTGCCAGGTTCTGTTAGTTTCCCGAGTCCACTTCCTGATAAAGTCACTGGGAGCTAATGAAAAAATAGCTCTGTAAGAAACGTCTGCCATTTATTTACCTTGGCTGACAGGGTTGGTCTTTTGTTTGGCAGTATCAGGGTGCTGTGGACAAGCTGAAACTTGCTGTGGCATTTTACATGTGAGATTCGCGTGAGAAGAGGTGCTGGAGATCTGTCTTAAAAATCCATGCACAGAGATTTAAAAGTCTGATTGTACCCTGTGGGGACCCAACAGGCACTGTCACACACTGTTGGCAGCAGTGAAAACTGGTATGGCCCTTTTGGAGATGAAGTTGGCATCCATTGAAATTAAAATTGGCATTCCCTTTAACCCATCAATTCAGCTTCTTGGAAAAACAGTGAATCTTCTTTCTTACAGAAATGCTTGTACAAAGTACACAAGGACATTTGTACCAAAAATATTCATTGCAGGACTATTTGTAATGGTTTCAAACTAGAAGCAATCTGAACTTCCCCCAGTGAGAGGGCACTTATCATATAAAGTGTCTACACAGCCACCATCTCCATGGCCTTGAGCAGTGGAGGTTCTACACCCTGCAGCATGGGCCTCCCTTTTTTCTTAGATAGACCAGGAAAAATGCAGCTCAGGCCTGGGCTTCCACTCTCCACTCAGGGACTCACCCAGACAGCTGATATCCTGAGGGAAACATGAGCTCCCAGGACAAGGAAAGGGGACATCCTAGGAGAGCAAACACCGTAAAAGAAGGACAATAAACCGAACAACCTACAGTTGATACATTTTTTTTTGAGACAGTCTAGCTCTGTCACCAGGATGGAGTGCAGTGGTGCCATCTTGGCTCACTGTAACCTCCGCCTTCCAGGTTCAAGCAATTATCCCGAGTAGCTGGGATTACAGGAGTGTGCCACCATGCCCAGCTAATTTTTGTATTTTTAGTAGAGACAGGGTTTCACCATGATGGCTAGGATGGTCTCGGTCTCTTGACCTCATGATCCACCCACCTCAGTCTCCCAAAGTGCTGGGATTACAGGCGTCAGTCACTGTGCCTGGCCAATAAAATTTAATTAATGTACCAGAAATGAAGAACTCAATGGATGATGTGGTCAGCACAACGGACAGAGTCAAAGAATGATGGGGCTGATCAACTGAACTGAAGGGCCTCATGAAAACATAGAGGTAAAATATTAAGAAAAAGTCAAGAGTTATGAAAAAAATAGAGTATTGCCTCAAATACTAGAAATCACAGAAGGAGAGGGGAAAAAATGGAAAAGATTTGACAAAGTGAAAACTGATATTGTTCCCAGAATTAAAGAAAGATATGAGGGCTCACACTGAGGGGACCTGAGTACCAAGTAGCATAGAAAAAAAAGCTACATCTAGACAGATAACAGTGAAATAGAACTATGTATATATCTATCTAATATGCGAAGAGAAAATTCAGAGAGTCCAAAGAGAAAGATAAAATCAACTTTAACAAGAATCAGTTTCTTTTCAGACATCTTAACGATTCAGGGTATAAGAAGACAACGGAGTAGACAATTATCAAAATATTGAGAAAAAATGTTAAATCTTGAGTTTGGTAGCCAGCAAAACTAAAATTTAAATGAAGGTGAAATGAAGATATTCTCCAGCATACAAGGTCTCTTTGCAAACCCTCTTTGAAGAAAACAAAACTCTCTTTGCAAACCCTCTTTGAAAAAGTAATCCAGCAGGAAGACACATAAATACAGAAGGTTGCTGAGCACAGTGGCTCATGCCTATAACCTCAGCATTTTGGGAGGCTGAGGCTGGCAGATCACTTGAGGTCAGGAGTTTGAGACCAGCCTGGCCAACATGGCAAAACCCTGTCTTTACAAAAAATACAAAAAATTAGCTGGGTATGGTGGCAGATGCCTGTAATCTCAGCTACTTGGGAGTCTGAGGTATAAGAATCACTTGAACCTAGGAGGCGGAGGCTGCCGTGAGCTGAGATTGCAGCACTGCACTCCAGCCTGGGGAATGGAATGAGACTCTGTCAAAAAAAAACAAAAAACAAAAAAAAACAGAAGGTTAATATGAACTAAGTCAGAGTGAATAAACAAGTTAATAAAGTTTACAGTTGCCTAAATAAGCAAGTATCACAAACAAAACCCATACTTACAATTAATCCAAAATAAAAATTCTATCCAGTATCAACAGTGTTAGTAGTTGTTAGGGGGTGGGCCTTCTCAGAGGAAGTAAAAGCAGGCCCGGGTATTAGCTGTATTTGGGGAGAAGATACAGGTGTTGATGAACTTAAGAAATTGAGAGGAGAAAATAAACAAGTTTGATTCTTATTAAGTTATGCAAAGCCACCAGAAAAACTTTTTTTCAGAATTTTAAATAGTGCTTACTGAGTACTACACACTATTTATTCATTGAGTTTTACACACACATTAATTTAATCATCAGAACAACTATATGAATTAAATATGGTAACTTCCATTTTTTAAGATGGGAAAACTGAGGCACGGAAAGGTTTAGTAATTTGCTTAAGTTCATAAGCGAATACACTAGTAAGTAGCAGAACTGCTGGAATTGAATCCAGGCTATCTGGCACCAGAGTCTGAGCTCTTAACTAGTTTGGTATACTGCCTTAACCATTATGCTACACCAGTGGGAAAAAAAAACCCACATCTATCCAAAGGAAGGTGAGTGTGGTAGGAAGAATAATGGTCCCCAAAGGTGTCCACATCTTAAGCCTCAGAACCTGAGACTATGTGACCTCAAATGCAAAAGGGACTTAGTAGCAGCTGTGATTAAGTTAAAGACCTTGAGATGGGGAGAGTATCCTAGACTATTGAATGGACCCAATGTAATCACAAGGATCCTCATAAGAAAGGAGCAAAAAGTCCTTTCTAGGGAGTAAGATGGAGTGTTTCCACTTTCTGTTGTATACATTTCTATACAGATTACATTTTTGTTTTGTTTTATACAATTAACCTGTGCTGCTGCTTCTATAATTGAGAAAATGTCAAAGATATTCCCACTTGGGGAAGCACATGTCAAGAGCTTTGGCTGCTTCCTTCTCCATGGTCTGCCAAAACCTCATCACCATGTCCTGTGCTCAAGATGGCTTCTCCTTGATGTTGAAGGACATGCTCAGGCTGTCCCCAGGCGGCCTGCACCACCCTTTCCACCAAACAGAATTCCTCCTCTTATTTTCTAGCATTTATGGAAAAGCCCCCTTCTCTAGGAGGCACTTTCTGATCATTCTGAATGGAAATGGCCCCCTGGAGAATTCTGTACTGTGGACTTCTCCTTCTTCTCCCACAAAGATTGCATGGTGTCCTTTGGGCTCCCTCCCTTGCCTGGCTTCTGCCCTCTACTGTAATGCTCTGTGCATAGGAACTGCAGAGGACCTAAAGCTTCTAAACCACTTGCTCTTCCTGGTACGGTCTCAATTGTATCATGTGTGTTTAATGCATATTTGTAGCTACGGCCCCCAGGAAAATAAAGGTATGCATCCCAAATAAAGGTTTGAAACCCCTAATGAATCTCAGAATAAAGCTGAAAGGTTGTAGGATAAACATTCTAACCCAGCTGAACTCAGGTGACTACAGCACCTGTCCATAACCCTCTCCTTTACCCTAAGCTTCTGAACAAATATGGAGAAGGAGCACAACATTTAAACAGAACCGTTAGGTGAAATAACTGAGTAACAGTAAAGAATTTTACAAAATGACATCTACATGGCTATAGCACAGCAACCTCAGTTGTTACCCTTGCTATAGCATCCAATCAAAATGGAATGGGTCTTTAAAAACCGTTGGTATCATCCCATTTTCTGCCAGTGCAGAAACCTATCCTAAACATTGCCTGATACATGGTCCACCATTTTAATAACTGCTCAGATACCTTGATTAATCTGGTGATAAACTTACTATAGACATATGTTTTCACTAGATTAGAAATAATTTCTCCACATTCCACTATCCTTCTTCCTTTTTGTTCCCAAGGGATTCTCATTCTCTCCACTCTAGAAGATTATCTTAAATGCTTATACTTTTGTTGAATTAGGGATGCCAGAGGCTATGGGTGAATGAGCCTCCATTCACAATCCACCTGGGACATCCATTAGCTTTTCAGATTTAAATCACATGCAGCCTGTTTTCACCTAAGAGGTTGCCTTGCAGGCCTAAATGCTACAAAAGGGAAGCAGAGGAGTGCAGTCCGATGACTCTGGAGGTGAATGGTAAGTGTGGGTTCTGGGTGTGAATTTACCCCTCACTGCCCAGATGCCCTACAGCACATCCCTTAGCCTCTCTGGCCTCAGGACCCCAAGAGTAAAGTGACAAGGATGGAGTGGAAGTCTCCAGAATGCCTTCTTGCTCTGACAGGCTGAGTCTGGCAAGAACACTTGGGGTCAGAAAGGAGACAACAGTTCTTGAAATGTGATCCCAAGAAAAACAGCATCAGCACCGCCTGAGAACTTGTTAGAAGTGGAAATTCTGAGGGCACAGTGGCTCAAGCCTGTAATCTCAGCACTTTGGGAGGTGAAGGTGGGAGGACTGCTTAAGCCCAGGAATTCAAGACCAGCCCGGGCAACATAGGAAGACCCCGTCTCTATTGAGCTGTGTTCATGCCACTGCACTCCAGCCTGGGCAACAGAATGAGACCCTTTTTCAGGAAAAAAAAAAAAAAAAAAAATCTTCGCCCCCACCTCTAACACTGAATCAGAGACTGAGGCAGGGCGAGAGGGGACAGCAATTTGTGTTTTAACAGGTCTTTCAGGTGATTCTGATGCACTCTCAAGCTTTAGAATGGCTGGATTACTGTGATGCTCAAAGAGCCAAATGTAATCAACCCTGATTGACTAGGGGATGTTGCTCTGTATTTAGCTGGTGTTATTTCCCTTTAGTTTCTTGGGTCAAACAACTATTTTGAAGAAGGTAGGACAAGTCATTTCTATCCTCCCAAACATCCATATTTTTGTACGTTAATATGACTCAACAGGCTCTTGCCTTCACAATCACCAGGGAGGTAGGCAGAGGCGACTTTAATGCTCTCAGAGAAGGGGTGTCACTTGTCCTGTTCACACACTTAGACAGCAAGTGGGCCCAAGCCAGACCCCTGGCCCTGATTTTTATTGCTTTTCCTTTATTTGGATCCTGTAGTCATGAGCAGCCCTCCCCCAGGTGTGCGGGAGACTCACCACAGCCAAGAGCCAGGAGGTGGGTTTGCCAAGTGAGTGCCATGAACATTCCTCCCATTGCAATGCAGGCCAGAGAGCTGTTGAAACCCCAGAGTCCAAAGTAGATGTCCTCAAACGGGGCTGCAAGACTGAGTCCTGTTAAACAAGACAGGAGGGGTCATAGTTTAGGACTAAAGGCAGGATGTTGTGGAAGGAGACTGAGGGTGGGATTGGAGGTTAGCAGGAAGCATCTCGAGAACTCCCATTGGTTGGTAGGAAGCCAAGACCTCAAGAAAGATCTGGAGCACAGGAGATGCCTGAGACTGCATGGGATGGAGGAGGTGCTTGATATTTGGTAAGGGCCCTTATGCTTACCTGCTGCTATGCCCAGCAAGGATCCAATGGCAGCATGCAGGCACATGAGTGGGGAGGAGAGCAGGATGGCTCCCAGGAAAATGCCCCCTGTCCACGGATTATCACAGCCATAGATCTGACCAACCCCCACTGGTATAGATTTCAATAACTGCAAAAGAAATTTTAAAAAATGAGGCCGCCAAAACAACTGAACAGAAACCCCCCAGGACACCCACAAACTCCTACGATGTAATTTTAGACCTGACATACCTTATCTTTTTCAAGAACAGTGTTACTGCCTTTTAAAATTCTCTCTTTCATTGCAGAAAAATCCCAGCCATTCTTCAGCTTTATCCCTAGAGACACACCAGCCCTTCCCTGGTGCATGCCATGCGTGCCTTCTCAAAGCTCCCCCTGGCTCTCCTGCTTGCACTGACACTTGGCCTTGGTCACCAGTAAGCTTCCAGTGTGATGCCACTCACTGGTCCTGGCTGTGAGGATCTGCCATGCTTACCCCTGGGGATGGCAGGGACCACAGCTGATACTTCTTTTGCTTTCAACTGTCCGTCAGTGCTGAGGGCAATCTATTCTATCCATTCATCCCTATGTTCAATAGAGACATTATTATCACCATGTAATTTGGATGCTTACACTAAAGCCAGAGACCCAAAGCCGGGTTATCTTATCCACAATTTAGAAGCAATTATTAGCAAGTTTGTGAATTTACTTTTCTATCTTTAAATGGAACATGTATTCATTTAAACCAAGATATCTTTAGCTTATTCTAGTTATGCACAACTGTTAAGCAGGTCTCAAAACACAAAAATACATGGAAATGTCACAATTCTACTTTCTGGCTGAGGCCTGAATTTAGTTATTCTGTTCATAGAGTGGCAGTTCTCAGGAGTGAACAAGGGTTTGGCCGCACCTAACAGGTGATCATTCTTTACAGCTGAGCTTCTGGTAGGGCTAGAATAGACATAATTAGCCTTTTGAGCAAGGCCATTTACTGAAAGATGTTTTCCCCAGCTCCCATCTTGCCCTCTTCGCCATTTCTAGGTCGTATGTGCACCAAAGACCTTCTGGAGGCAGTGACTCTGCCAGAGGCAGCCCCAGCTTTGACACAAGGGGAAGTGTCTTCTCTCTTCTTATAGTAGGCTGAGCCTAACATCGGCTAAGTGCACTGACCATAGTGTGAGTTTGCCTCTATCCTAAGATATAGACTCTAAATTCTTCCAGCCCATGCTGGGTCTTCATGTCTAAAGATTTGCTATTTCTATACCAGGAAACTTGGCAACGATGGCATAGGCTTTTTTTTTTTTTTTTCCCCCTTTGGACTTGATTGCAGAACTCTCTCTCTCAGGTAGCTATGGGGTTGGGGTTGGTGCTGATGATGGGCTGGTCGTTCAGAGTGAAGAGAAGGACAAGGTTTCCCCTGCCCCAGATCAGCACTGTGCAGGAGAATTTTCCGAGACGATGCAATAGTCTGTATCTGTGATGTCTAATACAGTGGGTTCTAGCCACGTGTAGCTATCAAGCACCTGAGATGTGGCTAGAGAGGTTGAGGAACTCAATTTTTAATTAATTTACATCTATATTTATATAGCCACATGGGGTTGCTGGCTCCTGTGTTAGTGTGGTTCTAGATAGATTAATGCTATTTTATACTGTTATTTTTCATGGGTAGATCTAATGAATCTTTGATTTTCCTTCTGAATTATTTCTAGGTGCTTCCTCTCATTTTCTGGCAATAAGCTAAAGAAAAGGTGACTTGAGCTTCTCATGTGTTTTGATCACTCAACAAGACAGAAAAGGGTGTTCCATAATCTAATAGTGGGAGAGCACATTGAAAAAGGTAAGGTTTCTTTGGTTTTCTTCTAATTTCAGGTGTTCTCTTGTTCTTGACAATCCAGAAACCTTAAGCAGATTCATTAAACACCAACAGGAAGGGCTGGAATTTGATTTGGGTTAACTAGGTTTTAAAAATACAGGATCTCTTTATGGCCATCTTTAAAGAGATACATAGGATGCATCCCTTGATACAGCGGTTCTCAAACTCTGGCCTGCATCACAATTTGGGGAGTTTGTTAAAACAGGTTCCAGGCCCCACCCTTAGAGATTATGACTTAGAGTGTCTGAGATGAAGCCTGTTTGGGTATTTAAAAAAAAATTGCCCAGGTGATTCTGATGCCTATCAAAGCTTGTGAACCCTAAATTATTCTACATGTTCTATGGGCTATGACATAAGGAAAAGCAGAATAGTGAGGTGCTGTCATGAGCTCTAACAGTAAGCATCCAGTTTTTTGATTGGAGGAAGTAGATTGTGGAAGATTTAAAACCAGGCGGGAGGCCACATGCCTTAAGGGCTGGCTCCCATCACCTCACCCCCAAGCTTACGATAGAGTGACTCCCAGTGGAACTACACTCTGGGGTTAGCACTGTAGATGTTTAGAGTAAAAGGCAGAAAAATTAGCTTGAGTAAATAGTAATTTTTAAAAAAGTCCTTAGATCTTAATGCTCTGGAGTAGAACAAATGCCTTAAATGGCAAGATGAAGGCAGAAAGGCCACCAAAGTTCTGAGCATCTAGGAGACTCTGACATCCATGGACAATTGACTAGGAGGCCATTATCTATCTTGGAGAGCCAGGGAGAATGTGAGAAGCCAGTGTCTCTTACCTCCAGGGCACTTAGATCAGACCAGGAGATATTTGGCGGTGAAGTTACAGGTGTGACCAATTTGCCTGGAAAGAATGGATTGAAATGTCCTGTGGCTGAAAGGTACATTGACAATGCCATGTTGAAAGGGAGGGTGAAGACAGGGAGGTCCCATCTGCTGAGCATGGAACTCAATGCGCTTGAGAAAATTGGGCTAAAAAAAGAACAGAGCAGAAGAACATGCATGTGACAAACCAGGCTGACACATGGAATCACTATACTCCAGAGGGACTTTGTTTCACCTGCCAATAGGTCCCTCACATGTTGTGTTGGCAAATTTGCCACAGAAAGAATACTTGGGATAAATCCTATTATCGAGACAGTAAATATTGCATAAAGTAAAAACTCACCTCTCAGCTTATTTGGCTTTTGAAAAATTCTACTTGGAGTTGCTCAGAGTGAGCTACATATTGAGATTTAAAAAATAATTTTGAAGTACTTATTACATACAAAATAAAATATTGTCTACATATTTAAAGTCCACTTTGTACCTCCTCTTACTCTTATGTCCCTCCCTCCCCACTAGGGGCAACCTCAATCCTGAATTTGGCATATCTCATTTTTTTCATGTATCTATCTTTGGAAAAGAGAAACAATTGTTCAAAGATGCCGGTAGTGTGAGCAAGAGGAAACAGATCTCAGAGTGTGCGTCCTCTTCAGTCTCTAAGCCTGTAAACTGGGGGGCTGGGCTGCATGGTGCCCAGGTCCCTATAGGCTCTCATTTGTTGGCCCAATCAAGGAGCCATCGCTTAAAGACCAGAACTCCCATTTTCCTGGATTGTGGAAGGGAGTGTGGTGAGCACTTGAAGGCGAGGCCTCCTTCCCATGAACCTATTCTTCAGAGCAGGTCCCAAATTACCTCCTGAGGAGGTTGGCTCTATAGGTAGGTCCTCATCCACACACCTGTGAGTGGGTGAGTGGCCTTTCCGCAGATACTGCCCACAGCAGGCTGTGCTTCTCATTTATGTGCATATTAGTATTTTATATTTAATTGCAATATAGAAAGAAGGAAATCTTTGTTTCCAGAAAAAGGATTTAAGACAATATCAACATAAAAACTAGTTTGAAGGATTTGAGTTTGAAAAAAAAATGAATTAAATTCCATGGAAAAAATTTTCTAAGGGAGTGCTGGGGGGCAGGTGGGTAAGGAGAATTCACGTAGGCACAGTGGTTCTCCCAGCATCACCTGGAAATGTGTTAGAAATGCAAATGATCAGTCCCCACCCCAGATAGACTAAATCAGAAACCCTGGGGATGGGGAGCAGGTGCCTGTGTTTTAACAACCACTGCAGGTGATTCTGATAGTGCTCAAGTTTGAGAAGCAATGATGAAGGAAGTGGGTCTGAACTTAGGCTATGCTGTAGAGTCACCTGGGAAGCTTTAGAAACTCCCAGTGCCCAGGTGCTAATGCAGACAAATGACAGCAGAGTCTCGGGACGGAGAAGTTGGGTGTGTGAGGGGCCACGTGCATCAGTGTGTTTCTACCAAAAAGACACCTGCACTCGTATATTCACTGCAGCAGGGTTTCTGCTCCCCACGGAAGTGTCAGCGTGCAGCCAGGGTTGAGAACCTCTGGTTGAGAGGTATCGGTGGATGTGTAGCCAGATTAGGCAAAAGGCCAAGTAACTGGTTGTAAGGAAATATACATCTTATAAAATAGTTGTTTTTGTTGCCGACAGAATCTAAAGGAATCCAATTTTAAATTTACCATTTTAGCCATTTTCCCTCCTCTTCCCCCTCCTGCTTCTCCTCTTCCCTTCCCTCTCCCTCCTTCTCCTCCTCCTGCTCTTTCTTCTGTTCATTCTGACCAAGCAAGGAGGCTCTGGAAACTGGAGTGCAGTGATGCAATCATAGCTTACTGCAGCCCCTAACTCCTGGGCTCAAGTGATCCTTCCCCCTCAGCCTTCTGAGTAGTTTGAACTACAAGCGAGAGCCACTGCACCTGGCTAACCATTTTAAGTGTGCAGTTCAGTGACATTAAGAATAATCACATTGTTGTACAACCATCACCACTATCAATTTGCAGAAAATTTTTCATCTTGCAAAACTGAAACTCTATGCCCATATGAAAATAATGCCCATTCCCCCTCCTGCCATATTTTTTTTTTAAAAAGGCATTTTGGAAACCAGTTGTAACTTACCAAGTCATGGACATAGCACATACAGGGAATAATAACCACCAGAAATAGTCTCCCTTGTCCGAAAAGACAGCCATGAGTATTCCCACCAGGGTAGCATTGTAGCCATAGAGCCCAGACGCTATTGATGACCTGTGGGGCAAGAGACACAGCATGGACATTTTCTGGGTGGGCTTTGGTTGCACTTGCATATAAATAACACTAGTAACTTTCAGATCATAATCATATTAAAAAACGAGTTTATATTTTGAAATGTATTTCAAAATCTATATAAGTATTTTATAAATACTAATAAAAACATGAAATGAAATATACACAGATAAAAATATAAATGTGCATTTAGATCTGTGGTCCCCAACCTTTTTGGGACCAGGGACAGGTTTCATGGAAGACAATTTTCCATGCATGGGGAATGGGGGATGATTTCGGGATGAAACTGTTCCACCTCAGATCATCAGGCAATTGTTAGATTCTCACAAGGAGCATTCAATCTAGATCCCTTGCATGTGCAGTTCACAATAGGGTTTGTGCTCCTAAGAGAATCTAATGCCACTGCTGATGTGACAGGAGGTGGAGCCAGGCGGTAATGCTCACCTGCCCATGCTCACCTCCTGCTGTGTGGCCTGGTTCACAGCAGGCCACAGACTAGTACTCGTCTCTAGCCCAGGGGTTGGGGGACCCCTGAGATAGAATGACTCCCTCCACAGGTGTCACGGCTAAAGACAGGTCTACAGTGGCTGAGAGAGGAAAGGGGAGTTTAGCAAGGCAATCTGCTGTTTCCTTTTAGCCTTTCCTTTGGAAAGTTATTCTTTGTTTTAAATCAAGAGCCTCTGACTTGAATAGCGCCTTTAGCATACAAAACTGTTTCCTAAGTTTGATTTCTTGGTGAAAGATACAAGATTCCTGAAATGTAAATTCACTTTCATAGTGCCTTTGATCTTATAAACATTCATCTTCCAACTTAGCATACATTTTTGTGTTCTGATGCTTCTATTTTGTTATCTCCAGTTGTACATTTTCAAGTTATTACAAAGAAAACAATTGCTTTTCTCTTACTTGGAGAAGTACCCCATTTAATTATGTGCATGTTGAGCATCCATTTCTTTCTGAGGTTGCTTTTTGCTTAGTATTCAATCTCACTTCTTCCCTGTCTTTTCCTTCTTCTACTCCTCCTCCTTCTGCTGCTGCTTTTTTAGATTGAGGGGGTGCGTGTGCAGGTTTGTTACATGGACATATTGCATGATGCTGACTGAGGTTTGGGCTTCTATTGAACCCTTCACCCAAATGTTGAACATAGTACCCGATAGGTAGCTTTTCAACCCTTGTTTCCCTTCCTCTCCTCTTTTGAAGTCCCAGATGTCTACTATTTCCGTCTTTGTGTCCATGTTTACTCAATGTTTAGCTCCTGCTTATAAGTGAAAAGGTGCGGTATTTGATTTTCTGTTACTATGTTAATTCACTTAGGATAACGGCCTCCAGATGCATCCATGTTGCTGCAAAGGACATGATTTCAATCTTTTTTATGGCTATGTAGTACTTCATGGTGTATATGTACCACATATTCTTTATCTGCTCCACTGTTGATGGGCACTTAGATTGATTCCATGTGTTTGCTATTGTGAACAGTGTTGAATTGAACATGTGAGTGCAGATGTCTTTTGGGTAGAATAATTTCTTTTCCTTTGGGTATATTTCCAGTAATAGGATTGCTGGGTCAAGTGGTAATTCTATTTTAGTACTTTGAGAAATCTCCAAACTGCTTTCCACAGGGGCTGAGCTAATTTACATTTCTACCAACAGTGTATAAGCATTCTATTCTGACCAAAATGGTCCTGGTTTCATAATTGGTAAGTAGAAGCCCCCTAGTGAGAAATGGAAGAATTTCCACAGACTAAGCTCTAAGGCTGACAAACCAGGTCCCCCATAGCTCTGAGAGTTGACAACGTCTGGCACAGGATCCACTTCCCAAGGGCCTGGCACTCAAGGGCGATGTCTGTAGGGGACGGGGGAGTAAAGAATGGTGAAGTGAGTGGGTGAGGTCTAATGCTGGGCTTGAGCAGGAGGTGCTACAATTGGTGAGCCATGCTGCAGGGGCTGGTACAGGATAGCGTGACAGCTGCTGCTTGGCTTGTTTCTAACTGGGCCAGGAGGCACTGTTGCAACAGGCAAGATGATGTCACATACATTAATCTGGATGAACATTAGAGGTGGGACTCCCTGTTCAAAAGTTCTTTGTCTCCCTTAAATAATCCTTGAGGGCATATTGGAGGTGATGCAATTTGCGATGATGCAACCCGGAAATTGGGACCACACATGATGACAATGGAGAGCTATGCAGACTTCTCTCAGCAGTTGACTTGGAGATGTTAATGCTTGAATCTGATGAGTGGAAAATTAATGGCAACATCTATAAGTTGTAGAATGTCATAGTTAAAGCCACAGAAAGACATATATTTACTTACAACAGATGATTGCCATTTTAATGCAGTCTTTTCAGACCAAGGAAAATAAAACATTTGAAACTAATACATATACATATGACTTGTCTTCTAAGTAATATCTGACAAAAAATAGTTGATCATGTTTCATCAGAGCAAAACAATAAGGGAATATTCAATATGGCGCAAATCTAGATTCCATCCCCAAACTGAGAAGACCTTTTCTTGGCCTGCCTTGGAACAGAGTTTAACCTAAGCTATACAATTCCCTTCTACAGAGAGCAAATCAGCCTCCTTGAAATTGATTAAAAAGTGAAACATTTGCTAAGTATCTCCCCATGGATCTCTTCAGGCAATTTGCAGCATGTGTTACAAGAGCTTAGTTGTGTAATGACCACACTGGGGATTATGCATGAATCCCAGACACCTGGAATACTGGTTCCCTCCCTGAAGGAACTGGCTAGTGAGGCGCTGTCTACTGTCCTGGTGAGAGTCAGCTCATCACTTCTTCAATGACAGATCAATTTATAACGTACATGCTATTTTTATTCTAATGCATGTATTGGAAGTTTCGCTGAGGCGTCTTAAGTCAGAATCTACTAACTTGGAATTTATAGTTATTCTTTTCTCCAGGAGCTGATCTGCCCTTTGCATTGTCTATGAAGAATGAGTTTGCCAAACTCATCACGGCAACAAGCCATAATGGGGGTTATTAAGCCACTAAAACTTTTCCTGAACTCGTATCCACTTTTGCTCGAATAGAATGCTGATGACAAATAATTTTATCAATCATTAAAGAAGATGCCTTCAGAACCTCTCCAGGGAATTACTTGTAGTTTAGTTCTGGTTAGCACATAATGCTATAAGAATCTGGCATTATTTAGACCAGCCACTTATTCAGATATCAAAAGTAAGAGACTGTAACTGATTCTCTGACCTCTGACTAAAGGCAAATATAAAGAGTTCTGTGGGCTAAAGGTTGTTTCTCCTGGGAAGGATGTGGCTTTATTACTGTTGTTCATAGTAACTTGTCAGCCCCTGTGTCTTAGAAGGGAGCTGAGAAGTCTGGAAAGGGTACACCTACCTGTCCTGGCTGAGCAAGAGGGCCATCAGAGTGGAGACCACTGTTCCCAGCCAGCCAGTGAGAGCCCACCAGGGGTTCTGAACAAGAAGTCCCACCAGAATCAGGATTCCACTGATGGAGTTGTTGACAAACACCACTTGGGATATGCCCCGAAGAATCCAGTCGACGAACTGGAGCACCACAGGTTTGTCTGGAAGGGATGAGATAAAGCAGAGCTAAGGAAGCAGCCAGCTGACACTCTTCAACCACAGGCCCACCCTGAGCAAAATCAGCAAAATATCCTGGAAGTAAAATGTATTTTTGATATTTCCTTCTTTCTTTCTCTCTGAATGCGTTGTCCCCTTAGTGGCACCCAGATCCCTGCATCTATCTACCATATGCTCCACTCACATGGCCCCTCCCAGAATCTAAGCTCCTGAAAGCATCGAATGCACTTATTTACCGTGCTTACAGGCACGAACTCTGAAGCCAAAGGAATGAATTGCTAATAGTAAATTTAACTTTTAAGTACTGAAACTACAGGATGAAGCCAGGTGCCTTCTTCTAATATGAGCTGGGCCCTGGCCACTGTCTCCGTAAGAAAAAAAAAAGTCTGCAGATTAAAAGATAAAAAGTAGAAAAACAGTGAGTAAAGAGATCTATAAAGTGTTGGAGAATATAACTAAAGATATAAGTAGAAGTACCAGGACACCATTTCCCCCAAAGCTACTTCTCCCGTCTTTCCAAAAGATGAAAGCATAAATACCTTTAAGCCAGTTGGCAAGTTCTTTCATATCACCGGTGACATAGCCAAGAGCTTTGGGGAAGCACCTTCTCCCTCGACATGGTGAAACTTGGTTTTCACCCCTGTCCACTCTAACCATAGTGGGGCTATCCTCCATGGCTATCTCTTTCTCTGGCTCCTTGAGGGAAGGACAGAGTTCATAAGTATCCCTAAAGCAGAGCCTTCCAAATTGGCCAGCTTTGGGCCTGGTTATAGTAGAAGATCTTGACCATTATGTTCCATAGAACTTAAGAGAGCACCATTTTCCTCCTGAGATACCACCACAGAGCTTATTGTTCAAACCCAAATCCCACAGTACCTTTGTCATCAGTGTCTCTAATGCTACCATGAGAAGTTTATGGTCTTTAATTTCATAATGTTCAGTGTCTGGTCCAACAAACATTTACTGAGCACATATTTACTGCTCTTAAGAGCTCAGTCTAGCTGAGAAGACTGAAAAACAATAATGTCCACAGAATGAGTCAAATCATATAGAAAGAGCTAAAATCCAGTGCTTAGTCTCCATGCTGTCAATTAAGGATCAAGAAATCATGTTATGGAATGGCCTGCTCACCAATGCAGGCTGATCAGCTACTTGCCAAGACCTTTTGAAATTCAGTTTTTATTTTACGAAAGTTTTATTTTTAAAAGATTGAAAGGGAAGAAATTTTAAAAATTTTGTGTGTTGACACTGCCTCCCCATTCTATGCTAGTCCAAGATTGCTTGAATTTGTCCTTATGTCATATGACTGCCTCAGATACACTTTACTTTTGGAACTTGTTATTTAAATGTGTAAAACCAGGCAAGAATGCTATTTCACCAAGGTAGAGAAACTGGGACAGATGGAATTGGACAAAGCTGTTGGAAACCAAAGAGCTGTAATCTAAGGATTGCATGATAGAAAAATGTACAGGGCATAATTATAGTAAACACACCTCTGGAACATATGAACACTGTAAGCATGACTGTGTTCACTACGGGACCATTCGCTTCTCATGATAGATTTCTTTTTCTGCAAGAAAGCAACAATATCACCAGAATTTGGTACCTTGAAGACAAAAATGATTTCATAGTGCTGATGGTAGACACAAAAGAGTACCAGTGGCATAATCCCAGAGGCAGGCTGAGGGAGGAAGCCAATGGCAAAACCACCTTGAGTGTGCAAGAACAGCCAACAGCACAGCCAGGTCAATTGGGAAGCAGGGAAACACCAAAATCATCAGACCCTGGAAGGCATAATTGTGGAACGTTGAAGCCACAGCCACATAAGACATGAGTACATGACTAAAGAAACACTGAAAGCCCACGCAGAGAAACCAGTCCATGTTCTCCATGTTGCCAGGCTGTGATCAAATGGTCCTCATGGCTATTTCTGGCCCCATCATTGTTCCATTTATCATATCTAACAAATTACCTAACAAATAGCAATGAATAGATAGTAAGTTATATCTATTTTAAAAAATTGAACTCTAGATTTGGCTTCTATTAATCCCAGTAAGGAAATCAATATGAGTAACTGATTTATTGCTAACAATTACATTTCAATTGCATTACCTCACTGCCCAGCTAACCATTCTGCTTTTTAAACAATGATGAACTATTAATTGTTGCACAAAAAAAAGCAGCTATTTATACACTGCATTCCAGACCGAGGTCATTTTGTCTTGGCAAAACAGTGTTGACACCAACATCTGTGTGACTTGCAGTGAATCTTGGCTGTCAGGAACCAAAACTAAGTCTATGTGGAGCTGAGTTGGCTCCATAGTTAAAGGTGAAAAATTGTATGAATAATGAAGCACCTATGAAAAATTACTTTTTATTTCATAATCCGTCTAAGTGGTGGCTATCATTTATTTTCAGATCATCTCCCTTTTCAAATTTCATAGCTGAAAATATTGCTTGGTAAGCCCCTGCCTCTGCTGCAGTGACCCATTTTTAAAGCCATACCAACTTATGGGAGGCATCAGGCTTCAGCTCACACAAGGACAAGCAGCCCAAAGACATAACTGCCTTGAGTTTCTGGAACTGAATCTATGAAGCAGTATCAAATGCAAACACTCAGGTGGCATTTTCCATCAACTACCAAAGCAGGAACTTGGGCTATTTCAGAATAAATGAATTCATATTCTCAAAATTTCCAGCATATATTTATTTTAAAGAGGTTTAAATATCCCATCACCTCAGAGATTTTAGAGATACAGATTCGAAACCTGATAATATAACTGGCCAGACGTGATCGAGAACCTGAATGGCCTGAGTCTCCTGTTGAGCCACCCAAAGTTAAGTAAAGATTAAACTAGTTTTCTCTAAATCTATAGCCCAACATATAGAAGACTTATTGCAATTTCTGAATCTAATTTCAACATAATTGGGGTTGGTTTAGGGCTAGGATGTCCTGCAGAGAAGGGTCTTCTCATGACCGGAGCGGACAGTTGCTGCTGTTTCAGAGTCCCCAGGAACCATTTATTTCGAACTGCTGAACCCTTCTGGAGCCCCTGGGAGCCCTGGCTACTTGCTCCAGAAGTCAGGCATGAGAACTCCTTAGGAAAAAATAACTTAAAATTGTAGTTCACCCTAGAATTTTGCCATGCTAGAATATCTGCATCTCTTGGGGAACTTTAAGAGTCCACACATCCTAACTGGGAAGACAGTGCAAAGCTATGGAGCCAGGACCTTCTGCCGATGCTCAGACATTTTAGCCCCAGTGAAGCAGGCCATTAATTTCAACTAAGAAGAAGGGACAATAAATAAAAGTCATTCTAATAAAGTAGACACAGGGTAAATGTAAAACCACAGGTGACTTCCCCCAGCTTTTCCATGGCTGTCAAAACTCCTCAGCTCAATGGTCCAGCCTCCAAACCAAGATGACCACCGCAGCGCTTTTTGGACCAAGATCCCTGTGCTTTTGGCTCATCTCACAGCCAACCCCGACTTCCCAAGCTCTGCCCAGAAAAGACACACCAGAGTTTGGAGCAGGCTCCCAGGTTCTCCGAGCCAGAAGCTGCATGAAGGAAGCATACCTGTTCCTGCGACCCATCTGCCAGGGCCAGGCTTAGCTGGTCGATGTCTCTGTGTGCTGCCTCACCAGCTTTAGTTCCGAAAGGGTCCTTCCAAACAGGACCATGACGGGCATCACCAGCGCCGCCAATCAAAGACCGTCTATTCATCCTTCCTTTTTATTAATATGTGACAAAGGGCAAAAATATGTGAATCAGCGTGATGTGTGCTCTAGCTCCTAGCAAAAGGCAAGTTGAGGGAGGCTGGAGCGCGCCCAGCGGGTTCCTGGTGAGGGAAGACGTGGCCCCACACGGGAGACCTCTAACAGAGAAGGAGGACATCCCCTTCACCAAAGAGCTCGCATTGGGTGGAGGGACATCCAGCTGACCACGGATATTAAATGTTCATTTACTTTGCCTAAGAAAAAATATTAACAATGGCAAGCCATCCTACACGGAGACCAATGCCCAGATTTTGTTCTGCTGTGTGTCTCCGCTGGTGGATCTGAAGCTGCCTGTTCCAGAGGGGAGAATGGGCTTCATATTCTGAAACATTTGGGGGCAGATTGTAAAGGCTGCATCTTGGGGACTAACACCAATGCAACAGGTTGCCTCACAACAGGTTCCCCTGGTCTTGTTTATGAAACATGGGAAGAAGGATGCATGATGTGGGCTCTATTTTCTGTAATAAGACACTAGCCACAGTTTGTATGCATGCACAAGCCTGCTTTGAGAATCTCCTAATAGGTGTTGTTTTTTTTTGCCTATGCCACCACATCCAGCTAATTTTCAAAATTATGGTTATTATTATTTTTCGCAGAGACGAAGTCTCATTGTGTTGTCCAGGCTGGTTTTAAATTCCTGGCCTCAAGTGATCATCCCACCTCAGCCTCCCAAAGCACTGGGGATTACAGGAATAAGTCACTATGCCAGGCCAGGAACTCTTAAATTTTGAACATTACTTTGTTTATAATAAACAGTTTTTATTTGAATTCTACAAATGTGGCAGGTTTTTATAAATTTTCTTTTTCCTTTTTAAAAATTCATTGCATCCAAGAATATCATTCTTTTTCCAGAAGTTTCAAAAAAGTTGTGTGTGTGGTATTTCTCTTTTTCTCCCTCTGTTGTTTGTTCTAGTTTTACTATTTTCTACTGGCTTGGCCTGAAACCTGAAAACCTACTCTTTACCAGAGTGACTCAGAAAAATCCATAATTTTGGAAAATACTTCTGATGTGTCTCAGGTAAAATTGTGCGTGTGCATGCATGTGTATTTGCCTATGGTAAACTAGCTAGCTAGTTCTGCACCACACTGATGTGCCTGCATGTTGCATTATGAGTACTTTTATTTGATCAAGTACAAATGGTTAAGAAACCCAGTGGTAAGGCTCTCATGTTATATAAAGCTAAAAACAAAGAAATAAGAAAGAATGAAGAATGAAAAAGAGACAAGCAGGGGTTGTCACATTCTCTCAGTGTAGACACCTTCCCCTTCTGCCCCTGCCTGGTGCCTGCCTTTCCCCTACCATGAAAATCACACATCTTGGAGAACCACTTCCTTGAGCTCAACATTAGTGTTTTCCTAGAACCAAGAGATTGGGGAATTTGAGAGCTAGGTAGGATTTTAGAGACCATATAGTTCAAGCTTTCTTCTTCTTCTTCTTCTTCTTTTTTTTCTTTTTTTTTTTTTGAGACAGAGTTTTGTGCTTGTCACCCAGGCTGGAGTGCAATGGCACGATCTCAGCTCACTGCATCCTCTGCCTCCCAAGTTCAGGTGGTTCTCCTGCCTCAGCCTCCTGAGTAGCTGGGATTATAGACATGTATCACCACACCCGGCTAATTTTGTATTTTTATTAGAGACAGGGTTTTACCATGTTGGTCAGGCTGGTCTCGAACTCCTGACCTCAAATGATCTACCTGCCTTGGCCTCCCAAAGTGCTGGAATTACAGGCATGAGCCACGATGCTGGCCCAAGCCTTCATTTTATAGAAGAGAAAACTGAGGTTCAGAGTGGGCACCATCCAAATTCACTCAGCATGTGGCAGGCAGAGTGGGTCTTGTGAAATAGGTCAGCTCTGGTGGTTCTTAACTTTTCAGTCTGGGGCCAGGCACATTAATGCCACACAAGGTTCTGTTCAAGTCAACAAATAAGTGAAGCAGCAGTTTCTGTGGGCTGGAGTCTGCAGCAGGGGCCAGGAGTAGACGATGCAGTGGGCACAGACTGTCTTCACACTTCCTTTGAACTATTCTTGGGGTGGGGGTTGAATAACCCCAAAGAAAGGGCTCTGCCATCCCCAGTTTTACCCCATGCTCTTGCCAGAAACAGTTACTCTCTGACAGACAAATGTTCCCTTGTGCCTCAAAGCTGGCACAGCAAGGCTTGTGTGTGCTGAAGTTAACATCCCGAGGATATTCTGGAAGCTGTGCCTGAAGAGCTTCCCAGCAGAAGCCAAAAGCACTTTTTCATCCCCCAGATCACTAGTAAAATGAAGCAGTGCTTAGCATTTTAATACAAGGCAGTATCAAGATTTCAATTCAACTAGTCTTCCCTATTTTATCACATGAAATAAAATGTATTCTACTGCTGGCATGTATTGGAAATTTGTGCAATTGGAGAGACCTACAGTCTTCAATTTTCCATGCCTCAGCTATTGTTTTTAAAAATAATATGAAGTGTTGGCTATGAATATGGAAGAAAGCATTTAAACACTCATACTCCAGCATAATAAACAGATCTTCAGCATTGGCACTTATTTGGTACTTACTATAATCTTTATTTTAGGTAGTTTTTGATTTGAAGTGGCAGGAGATGCCCAGTTTTCTTTAAAGCTGTAATCAGAAGCAAATAAAACATTGTCAGATATTCCTGTGTCCTGGTTAAAACACTTCCCTCCTTAGAAAACGCTACTCTCAGAAGTCTTGGTTCCACACATCGGAAAGTGCAGCTGCAAGGAAACTGCCGAATTCGTGGCTTCAGTTGTGACTGACTCGTTCTCCTGATGGGTGCACAAGAACATTTCCTTCAGCATGACGGTGCACGCAGAGGAGTCCATAAATCCATCATTGGAAAGGGCCATTCCCAGTTGCCTACTTTTTTCTTTTGAGTCATGTAGACACTTGCCTCAAATTTATTTCAAGAACACAGTCTGAATTGTTATTTCAAGAACACAGCTCAAAACTCCTAATAGTGTCAATTAACTCAGAATGATTGGTCACCTCGGGTGGACACCTCCCTCCAAACCCTCTTCCATATCGGCTCAGGTGCTGCATGCACCTTGCTTCAGAAATTGCGAATGAAGCATGCCTTTGAGCTTCCAAGAAGAAGCCTGTGGCTTTGGTAAATTGCTTTCTTGTCTATCAGAACTCTGGTTTTGCTGCTTCTAATCAAGTCTGGTATAGAAAACATTTTCTCCATTAAGAAAAAGAGAAAAACTTAGGACCGCGAAGACAAGCTCCAAATGGTGAATAGTGGGAAATGAATAGAAATGAGAATAGGTACTTACGCCACTCTAGCTGGCTTCCTGATGGCAGAAGGCAGTGGCTGATAAAGATTTGCCCGGCTCCACTACAAGGGAGAGTGCGTCCCAGGAGATAGTGCTGGAGGGAGGCACCTAACATTTATACACCCAGAGCCCTGCTCTGCTCAGTGTGTTTGTGGGCTCAGCTTTCTCCTCCCACTGCAAGCACTAATGCCAAAGCAACACCAAGGAACTGGTCCCCTGGCTTCAGTGCCCGATGTCTCTCTCTCTCTCACTGTTCTTGACACGGTGCCAGCTGCTTTGCCATTGTTTCCACGGCATTCCAAGATCTTTGACCAGCAGGAATCCTACCAAAATGCATCTTTTCCTTCTCCTATTCCTCTGGCCCCCTACTCATGTTTTTGGAAAGATTTACAACTGAATAAAGGATCAACAGTATTAAAGTAAAAACCACAGGGCAGGTTGCTGCCATGTGGGCTTGGAGGCTAAGTGGCTGCTCCCGGGGTAAAATTGTCTTGGACTTACTTGACACAACTTCTGTGCAGATATAAGACTCTAGCAAGAGCCCGAGGGGCTGCTGGGAGGGTGGGGAAGAGAAAGTACATGCAAGTTGTTTCCTGTAAGCCAGGCACCCTTTTCTCCGGTGAGGAGAAAACAAAAATATCAGTGTTTCCCTGGAATGTCCCTCTTTCCAGTTGAGAATTCTTGGACATACTCTGCTGCCTCTTAAAAGTCAGGAGGCAAACATTCCATAGCAGGGGAATCTAAAACTGAATCAAAATATCTCCTCCTTCCTCCTCCTTATTAAATTTCAGTTTTGTGGCTTGTTCTGTTATGGCAAAAATCTAACTGAAATGTACTTTTATGAGCACAGAATTAAAAAAAAAAATGTAATCCCACAGTCAGCCATGCAGATGTCATAGGTCTTCTTTCGTCTGGGTCTCTCGTCTGCTTGGATGTGCAGATAGCACTTATCAGCCTTCAGCAAGGTGGCCTGTGGCTGGGAGCTCTCTGGCTCCACCCACTGGACACCCGCCAGACCACAGGTTCCTTGTCTGCTTGGGACATCCTTCCTCCAAGTGCCTCTGGAGCACTGGGGCCTGAGGGGGCACCCATAGGTCCAGGTTTATAATAAGAGTTTTGAGGTTCAGGCAGATCTCCTTCCAACATTTTTTCCCCGGTAAAAAAAAAGGAGAAAATAAGCTCCTAGGGTTTCCCTGATGGAGTATAATGAATAACCAGGAGACAGTGTGAGTGGCCTGCTTTGGGAATGAAAGGAATCATATGAGTGTCTCCACGACTTCCTTATGCAAATGGGCCACTGTCCCTGATAGAAATAATCAAGGTAGTGAGAATAAGAATTGCCACAAATGGTTAAGCATTTGCAAAAATCCTATGTTATACGATTGTCCCCATTTTGTAGATGAGCAAACTGAGGCTCAGAGTTTAAATAACTTGCTCAAAGTCTGACTCAGCCTTTGTAATTTTAACCACTCGAGTGCTGCCCAATATTTCCAACTTCTGCCCATATGTTTGCTTTTCATTCATTCATTCACTCAACTCAGCCATGATGCATATTTATGGACCTCATCCTGAAGCTGCTTCCACACGACACCCATGCAGCCTTCTGCCTCAGTGGCACTGGTCAGGGCTGAGGGTGTGTAGTGAGTCTCAGGCCTTCTTGGAAAAACCACCTTCTTCTTTACCCACCCTCCCTCCCTGGCCTTTCTACTTGTCCCTGTAAAGCCACACCTCAAGTAGGGGGTCACAAAACATAGCCTTGCCATATTGTATGCACAAGGCAGTTCAAAGCACATGGAATTTCAAGTTGGATAGACCTGAGTTTGAATACTGGCTTTTTTCTGGCAAGCTCTATGACCTTAGGCTTGTTACTCACTGTCTCTGAGCCTCAGATTCCTCAGTGTAAAGTGGGATAATTTTACTTCCTTTATAAAGTCGTGATGAGGGATGACATCTTTAAAGCACCATGCTGAACATGTAGAGGTGCCACCATTCTGATGCCTGCCCCTCTTAATCAGCATTGGTGTTCTTTGGGAATTTCCAAATGGGACCTTCCTCCGGCTTCAATAGGGGACAAGCTTCTCCTTGGCTTTGACATCAGAAGGGGTGCAGTTATGTGTACAGAGGAAATCATTTGCTTCATTCAAGAACTGTAAACTAGGTAGGTTTCTGATGCAGGGCTTGCCAAGTTCTCACACTGCAGGATCCTGAGATGCCAGGGTCCGCTGCCACCCTGTTGCTGTAGACAACTGGGCGCTCAATATTTTGTGCATACATGTGTTCTCTGTGCTTTTAAGCAGCCTAATTGCACAATACAATGACCTTTTCTCTGTTATTTCTACAGTAGCTCCTTTATTATTTCCAGAGAGTCATTTGCTACGTATTTATGCCCTAACATTGTTTTTCCTTGGTCTTTCCCATGCATCTCCTTTTTGGGTGCCCCTCTCTGTTCTTGTTCCAAGTGAATGCACCTTCCAGCACTCTGCATAGAATGATCACAAATGAACATACAAAAAGTTGCTCTCCTCTTCCACTTTCTCCTTGGAGTTTCTGCCCCTAGGATGTTTTCTCTCTCCTCCTCCTCCTCCTCATGCTCCACCCAAATCAGTTTGGATTTCCAAGTGGGCTTCTCTGCACTTAAAGCAATTTACATCTCTGTTCCTCATTGAGCATGAAATCATGCCCCCCAGCCCTGAAAACGTTCTGGTAGTGCCTTTTATTTTTAAAATATATCTTATAATGCACAGTCCCACCTGGGCTGGAAGGTATTAGATGATGAAGTCAGGATCCAATAGCTCTCTGTATTCATAATGGACCTCCCTCTTTCCAGAAAGATGTTGAGGCAGTTCAACAGATATATGTAAGAGGATATAAGGACTAGGTGACAAAATGGAGAAGGGAGAATGCAACTATGGATAAAACACAATTTTAATATTTTTTCTATACCTTGCATTTGTAGGTATTTCTAAATTTGTGTTGTTTTAATCAAATTATTATAACACTGTTTCATTTGATTGCTGCTTGATATTGATCTGTGCATAGGCAATTTGATGTTGCAAATAATTGACACCTCAAGAGTATGTAATTGGGTGGTGCCCACACTGAGAAATTCTACAAGATATTCTCATGCTTCCCTGTCTCCTCACCCCCCATGAAGAGAGTAGCAAGGACTACAAGCATGGAACAGAATGTTCCTTTGTAGTGTGTTCTGAGCCTACTGACTTCTTCGGTTTGGAAAACAGACAAAAAGGCACCAGATGAGAGCCCAAACTCCCAGAATAACACTTGGAGGATACCCTTTGTGATAGGCATTCCCTAGAGCGAAGCCAAGGGCCAAGCTGGAGCAGAGTGCAAACGTCTCACTCAAACCTCCTCCACCCGCCCTTGCTGGGGGAACACAATGATGGGTGATGGCAGGAGGCACTGAGGTCCCCAAGATTTTAGTTCTTAAATGCAATCCTGCAATTATTCCATCCATTTTAGGAGTAAAAGGGGATCAATAGCTGGGAATATCCAGAGATGTTGTTCCTCTGGCACAAAGCAGAGGGTCCAGGTAATCTCCATCCTTACCTACAGCTTTTGTCAGATGCCCACCTGTCACCTTTCCAGGTTTTAAATTAAAATCAGACCAGTGTAAGACTCATAATGTAGTCTCTGGTGTCCTGGGCCAATGTGTGAGGATGTGTAGGTCGTGCACTACAAAAATGCACCACCTCTAAGGGGTCACTGTTAATGTCCTAGACATTTATGTGTTTATTGCAACAAAGTTCGTGCAGATGGCACTAAAATGTCTTCAGAAAAGGGGTGCTAGAATGTCTTTATGCAAGGAACCATATTGTCAAGCAATACCAGAAATACCCTGAGCTTTAAAAATTTTTCATTTTTTTGAACTCTGAGAAGCTAGCTTTTGTTTCTTTTTGCTTTCTTTCTTTCTTTTTTAGAAAGAGTCATGCTGTCTTGCCCAGGCTGGAGTGCAATGGTGCAATCTAGGCTCACTGCAACCTCTACCTCCCGGGTTCAAGCGATTCTCCTGCCTCAGCTTTCTGAGTAGCTGAGATTACAGGCCTGCACCAGCATGCCTGGCTAATTTTGCATTTTTAGTAGTGATGGGATTTCACCATGTTGGCCAGGCTGGTCTTGAACTCCTGACCTCAAGTGATCCACAAACCTCAGCTTCCCAAAGTGCTGGGATTATAGGCATGAGCCACTACACCTGGTAAGAAGAAAGGCTTCCCTGATCGGGAACTGAACCAGGGCTATGGAGGTGAGAGCACCAAATCCTACCCACTAGACCACCCGCGGCATCATCCTCCCTCCCAGGCTTGTGCTTTTTGTTTCTTTAAAATTAAAAAAAAAAAAAAAAAAACACTTATCAACGAGGACAATAGGGAAAGAAGTAGGAAGAGAATCATTTCAATCTCTTTAGGCTCAGATGAAAGGGAGAGTAAAGTGTTGGGGCAAATGAGGGATGGGGACTGGCATGGCTGTAGTTCCTAGTCCCTCTTTTGAGGGTAAACCACACACATTGGATTGTTCTCTCACTTTGAAAGATACGGGGATGCTGGCCCCAAGCTCAGGAAGTTGAGCTCGATTCGATAATTGGGCCAGGAAGAAGAGGTGCGATGGTCTGGCATCACCGTTGCAAATGGGGTTTGCTGGACACCCAGATCTATCTGCTGCCATTTTGTCTAAAGGTTTACCAAACCAAAACATCAGTGGGCTCAGAACACACTGCAAAGGAATGTTCTGTTCCAATCTTGGAGTCCTTGCTATTCTTTGTGGTGGGGGGTGGGGAGCAAGGGGACAGAGAAAGATGAGAATGTCTTGTAGAATTCCTGAGTGTGCGTGCTGCCCAATTACATACTCTTGAAGTGCACATTATGTGTAACATTAAACTCAGGATCTGAGTTACTCACCAGGGGCCTGGCTGGGATGGGGCAGGTGTGTTAAAGTGCAGCTGCTCTCTGGTGCTGCGGAGGTGGCAGCAGGCTCAGGCCCCTTCCTATCATTTGTCTCAACTGGAGACTTGAGTGTCTGCCGGATACACAGTTTTGTCTGTTCAGCCTGATTTAAGGACCTTTTGTAGTTATTAGGAATCCTCACTGTTACTGTTCCCGAGCCTTATATGAATTGGCAGCCAAGAGCTGGAGAGTGATACAGACTCACTTGGCCCTGTCCCCTCCTCCCATTCCCCTGCCTCTTCCTTCCTTCTCCCCCACCCCCCACCCCGCCCCCAATGCTCTGTCCAGGCTCTGGGCAATCAGGGTGGATGGGGACTGGAAACCCTGAACCCTCAGGGTTCAGGACAGAAGGTTCCAGCTTGGAATCTCAGTATTTCTGGGTTTTGTGTGCACCTGGGACCTTCCTGGTGGGGTAAAACAGGAGGGTGTTTGCCCTTCCCAGCCTGAGTGAAGAGGACATGGGGCTTGTGTTCTTCTGTTCTGATCAGGAAAAGAGCTCTGAGGGCTGGCCCTGCACAGAGGAGGGGGCACTGGAGACTCATTGACCCACTGCTGTACCTTCTGCATCTGCACTCACTGCCCACCACCTTTTCTCTTCCTTGCAGGTGGCTTCTGCATGTGTGCCAGCTCCTGCAAATGCAAAGAGTGCAAATGCACCTCCTGCAAGAAGAGTGAGTGTTGGGCCATCTCCAGGAATCGGGGGCTGTGGCTAAGGTTGAGAGGGAACTCTAGGCTGGCCCTGAGTACATAATTCTGGGGAACTGGGCTTTCTTTGCCCCTGTTGGCTGTGTCATTTTCTCTCAGAGGGCTTTGTGCCCTCTGGGTCTGGGGTCTGAGCTGGAGCCAAGCTTGCTATTAGGGAGGTGCCTGGTCAAGTCAGCTCACCTCTCATTCTTCCCTTTCACCTCAGGCTGCTGTTCCTGTTGCCCCATGGGCTCTGCCTAGTGTGCCCAGGGCTGCATCTGCAAAGGGGCATCTGAGAAGTGCAGCCACTGTGCCTGATGTGGGGACAGCTCTGCTCTAGATGTAAATAGACCAACCTGCACAAACTTGGATTTTTTAAAAAATATAACCCTAAGCTGTTTGCTGCATTTCTTTTTCTCTTAAATATGTGAGTGACAATAAAACGACTTGAATCTTATCTGGCCTTTTTTGTGTGTCTTGGAATAAATGGACTGGGGTGGGAGTTGAGCCAGGAGTTTAAAGACCAGGCTCTGGGTGGAAATGTGAGCCACTAACAATGCGAACACCTTTGGGAAGCCAGGTTACCTCACTGAGTCTGCACTGCTGTAAAATGGCATTGCATTGTGCCACATCAAATGGGTGGGGTGTTACAGATGATCGTTTCCAGTCTCAATTGTCAAACATGACCCATTTTTTAGATTCAACGAGGAAAAATGCAGTGAATACATGAAGAAACAACAGGAAAAACGAAAGATGTACAAATTTTGACGACATGATGATGTGGAAGGCAACCTCAGGGAAACTGGGAAAGGCGGCCAGGACCTTGGGGACCTGGCGTACCTCCAGGCACACAGCCCTTTCTGCGAGAGCGAGCAGGCGCCAAAGGCGCGGACCCACGGTGTGCACCAAGCAGAGCGCAGGGAGTGGTGCGCCTGGCCCCTCTGCCGCGCACAGCCCAGCCCGGCCCAGCCCAGGACCTATTTCCTTGAAGTAAGCACTTATCATGCTTCTTAATTTAATGCAGAGTCATCACATCAGGGCAAAGTTCTCTCCCTTGGTGACGTCCCAAGCTTTGGACGTCCTTGGTCTTGGTGGGCCATCTAGGCTGTGGGAAGCCCAAAAGAAGTTAAAAAGCAAAAGAGGACTTAAACAAATGTACCCATCACCCTCTCAGGAGTGGAGGGTGGAAGGGAGGGAGGCAGGGCCCTGTGTCTGGCCTGTTGCTGTGAAGAGGAGAAACGAGGCCAAAGGACCTGGATGACTATGAAGGTGGGTCGAAGGTCACATGGGAGGCTGGTCCTCTGCACACAACTCCCTTGCTGCGCTTCCTGCCTCGGTCCTATCTAGGAACTAGGCTGGGGTTGCACACGGATTCCCACAGAGGCGAAGTTAGGTCACTGGTGCCGGGTGCGAGGGCGGGGATATGGCCACCACCTGAGGCTGGGTTCCTGGACCGCCCAGGACAGGAGTGGACTGCAATCTAAGGGAAATTCGGGAGGGCCAGGATTATAGTCAGGACGCCGCGTAATGCCGGGAGCACAGCCCCCCAAAGCCAGCGAGAGCCAAAGGGCCGCCCTCAGGGTGCATCCTGCTCCGGGAGAGGATCCTGCGCTCGGCCCGCCTGCAGCGTGCAGTCAGGCCCTGAACCCAGGGTCGGCGCTGACACTGTGCGGGGTGGCTGCCAGACCTGGGCCAGGGCGTCTGTGCCCGGCACCCTGCCCTGACTCTAAAGTCAGAGGCCTGATCCTGGGCTCTGTTCCGCCTCCCACCGGCCAGCCTGCTTTTTTTTTTTTTTTTTTTTGCCTCTGGTTTAGGAACTCCAGCCTCATCTGACCTCCAAATGGACCCCAACTGCTCCTGTGCCGTTGGTAAGGAATGCTGGGTTTCGGGGCTTAGGGTCTTCATTTTCATACTCCAGAATAGAAGGTTGCTGGGGCAGGAGGCAGGTGCATTTTGAGCTCTACCTAAAACGGACTCCTTTGCTTTGCACTTCTGGAGCTTTCTCCCCGCCAAGCACCTTCATCACTACTCGGAACACTGCCATCTTCTCACTGCCTCCCATTTCTGAGGTGAGAGGACAGGCTGAGAATTGGCCGGCTCTAGGTCACCCTCAAGGCCAGAGGTGTGCTGAACTAGGACCCAGTGCTTTGTCCAGCATTTGAGCTGCCTGAGGTGGATGGGAGGCACGACATTCACCGCTCACTGCCTTTTTCTTCCTTGCAGGTGGCTCCTGCACCTGTGCCAGCTCCTGCAAATGCAGAGTGCACATGCACCTCCTGTAAGAAGAGTGAGCGCAGGACCATCTCCAGGAATATGGGGGCTGGGCAGAGTCAAAGGAGGGATCTCCACAGGTCAGAGCCAACCAATGATGAGCCTCCCACATCTCCTTGCTTCAGCAAATGACTTAGGATCACAGCTGGAAGGACACTAGAGATGGTTAATTCCCAATCTTCATTCTTACCATGGGGAAGCTGACACCAAGAGCGCACACCAGCATCTCAAGCACAGACCTGATACTTGAGGACTTTCCTCACTTAAGTGTATCATTCTAGGAGACTGTCCTTCCTTTTACTGCAAATAGCATGTCATTCTCTCTCCAGGCTTCTACCATGTCCTGGGCACAGGAGGGGTGGGCAGCTTTTTCATGGCAAGACTCTCACCCCAAAGATTCAGGAGTTGTCTCCTGACAAGCAATGCCACCCTGAACTAAGGGTCCTTGGGCTGGAGGCAAAGCTTGAGCCAGTCCTCTGTTGGGGCAGGGAGGTCACTGTTTGAGTCTGCTCTGACCTCTTACTCTCCCCTTCTTCCCCAGGCTGCTGCTCCTGCTGCTCTGTGGGCTGTGCCAACTGTGCCCAGGGCTGGGTATGCAAAGCGGTATCAGAGAGGTCCAGCTGCTGTGCCTGATATCAGATGTAAATAACAAAACCCTTACAAAACCTAGAGGTTTTTTCAAATACAAGCATAACCCATTTACTGTGTCTGTTTTCTCAAGTGAAACATGGGAATGACAATAAACATTGTTGGCCTTATTCTGCCTCAATGGTTTTTTTGAGGGGTGTCCTGACATAACAGACCCCAGACCCAGCAGAGCTGGGATCCTCCTATATACTGAGTGCCCTAAAGCAAGTTGGGTTACCTGTCTCTGGTCAGTTTCCTAGCTAAAAACGTAAGAGCATCATGCCAGATGATTTGAGGGCACAGGAATCAGTCATGGACCTAAGCTTTGGTGAGATAAATAGAATGAATGAGTATGAAAAATAAAAATGCAGGCCGGGCACGGTGGCTCATGCCTGTAATCCCAGCACTTTGGGAGGCCAAGGCGGGTGGATCACAAGGTCAAGAGATCAAGACCATCCTGGTCAACATGGTGAAACCCCGTCTCTACTAAAAATACAAAAAATTAGCTGGGCATGGTGGCGCGTGCCTGTAATCCCAGCTACTCAGGAAGCTGAGGCAGGAGAACTGCCTGAACCCAGGAGGTGGAGGTTGCGGTGAGCCGAGATCGCACCATTGCACTCCAGCCTGGGTAACAAGAGTGAAACTCCATCTAAAAAAAAAAAAAAAAGAAAAAAGAAAAAAATAACAGGAAAAAGAACTACTAATGCTGCACATCTGTTATAAGGGGTAGTGATACTCAGTAGGAAGGAGGAAGGCCCTGGGTATCTTGTAATTCATGGCAACTGTTCGTTTTCTGGCTATTTGGTGAGGCAATTGATGTTTGATGTTCAAAGAGGAAGAGGAGTCACGTGGCCCAAGAGTAAGCATCATGCTGCCTTAAAGTGCTTTGTGAATAAGGGATTTCAGAAGGTAGTTTGGCCGGGTGCAGTGGCTCATGTCATGCTCTGCTCAAGCCAAGGCAGGAGGATTGCCTGAGGTCAGAAGTTTGAGACCAGCCTGGGTAACTTAGTGAGAACCCCTCTCTATGTAAAACAAAACATTAAAATAAAAGAAGAAGAGAAGGCAGCCTGGCCAAGTGCAGGTGGTTTGGTGTCACACAAGTGGGTTCACAGCCCACTTCACCCCTTACTGGCTGCGTGACCGGGGCAAGGTGCTTAACCTCTCTGAGGCTGCATTTACCCATTTGTAGAAAGAAGATTCTATCTCTACTTTGGGATGAAATGTGTTAGTGGCCTAGCACCTGGCTAGGACTCAGTGAAGAGTGCTGTTATAATCATTTGTCCACATGGACTTTGCAGACAGAGAATCCTATTGGATCTCATCAAGCTCCTTGGGAAAGGACCACCAGTTCCTTGGAAGCATGACTATGGAGTGGAAGTTGGGAATGTGTTTGAAGTCTTGCTGGTCTGGTCTTAAGGGTATGTGGATGACTTCCTGCACCAACTCCCCAGCATAAGACACTGCTCCAGCATCTGGACAGAGAACAAGCCTTTCCCACCCTTCAAGTCATTTGATCTTCACACAAACCAGAGAGACAGTATGTGCAGAGGCTGGATATGTAGGGGAACACTGTCCTCTAGAGTAGTTAAGAACCTGCCCAAGGTCACACAACTCACAAGGTCATCCAACTACAGGTTGGATGAACTTATGGTACAGCTGTCCTCAAACCCTCTCCAGAGCTGGCACATCATTGTGTAAGTGGATGCTAAGCCCTTCCCATCACAGTTCTTAGCTGGAAGTGCCTTTGGTGAGTTGGCCTAATTGTGCCCTGACTGGAAAGAGGCATACTGATGCCCAGGAAGGTTAAGAGCTATGAAGAGGGATTGATTGCCAGCTATTACTCTTCCCTCTGCTGTCCTTGCGCCAGGTTTTCTGTGTCCTTGTGTTTTACATGACATAGGGTGCTGGTTGAGGCAATGACGTTGCGTGAGTGCAAATTTCAGCTGTGTCATTTATACGTGGGTAACACAACCACTCTGTGGTTCAGGCTCCTACCCTGTTCCATGCATAATAACAGGATCTGGCTGGTAGGACCACATCAGTTAATTCATATAAAGAACCTAATACAGTGTTCAGTGTGTCTCAAGTAGTCTGTAATAGCTATGCTTTTATTATATTTATAGGAACATTTTAGTACCTCCAGACAAATAAGCCAGTCCTGATAGGCTTAGCTGTGTGTCCCATGTTGTTCCCATCAATAACATGAGCATATGACATATGGATCCGAGAGGGAACCCTACCCATCCACAAATAGGGATCTACGCTGCATATATATAAAGCCATAAGTAAGATAGTCTGTGTCCGCATAACAGATGTGAAAGGATTCTTGCCATTTCTGCCAACACCTGCACTGTTATTTTCCTTAACATTTTCCTTTAAAGAATCCTATTTTTTAAATGTATTTACAGAAAAAGCAAACTCTCTGACACTACTGAAAATAAGAATCAGTCACCTTGCAGACATGAAAGGTAGCCACACAGTTATATATATCCCTCTGTATCACTTCTGTTGCTCTTGGGATTGAAGTTGACATTTGTTTTTGTTTAAAGATTTCAAGCAGTGAAGAGGTGCTGAAGACATAGCAAGGGCAAAGGGAAGTTTCATCACTGACCTCTTTTCCTTGAAAAGCTGAGTGGTGGCTGGGTGCGGTGGCTCAAGCCTGTAATCCCAACACTTTGGGAGGCCGAGGTGAGCAGATCGCCATGTCAAGAGATCGAGACCATCCTGGCCAACATGGCGAAACCTCGTCTCTACTAAAAATACAAAAATTAGCTGGGCATGGTGGCGTGCGCCTGTAATCCCAGCTACTCGGGAGGCCGAGGCAGGAGAATTGCTTGAACCCAGGAGGTGGAGGTTGCAGTGAGCCGAGATTGTGCCACTGCACTCCAGCCTGGCGCCTGGCAACAGAGCAAGACTCTGTCTCAACAACAACAACAACAACAACAACAAAGCTGAGTGGCTTCAAACCTGCAGCACTGCTTTCACTCTCTGTCCTGGGCTAGCTACTTGTCTCCTTGTGTTGTCCTTGTCTGATTAGTAAGACGCTGTCATAAAGAGTATTTTCCTTGAGGGTTGCTGTGAGGGTTGAAACAGCCAAAGTGAATAAACAGGGTCTGGCTGAGTCTAAAAGCTCTGTAATAGTTAAGAATCCTGAAAGTAATAACTACTTTTCATGCTTCTTAATTTAATGCAAGGGTGAGCACATCAGGAAAAAGATCCCTCCCTTGGGAACATTCCAAGTTTTGGGAAGCTCCATCCTTGGGCCTGGTGGGCCAGCTAGGCTGTGGGAAGCCCCAAGAAGTTATAGCAAAGGAGGATGTGGACAAACGTGCCCATCACCTTCCCAGGAGTGGGGAATGGAAGGGAGGGAAGCAGGGCACTATGTCTGCTCTGTTGCTGTGAATAAGACAAACGTGGCCAAAGGAACTGGGTGGCAATGCAGGTGAGGCAAAGGTCACATGGGAGGCTGGTCCGCTGCACACAACTCCTTCGCTGCACTTCCCTATCTAGAGATGCAAGCACTAGGCTGGGGTTGCACATGGACTCCAACAGAGGTGAGGCTCAGGTTACTGGTGCAGGGTGCTGGGCAGGGGACACCGCGACCACCTGTGGCTGGGTTGCCGGACCGCGCAGGGGCAGGAGTGGACCACAATTTCTAAGAAATTCGGGTGGGCTGGGATTATAGCAGGGACACCGCCTAATGCCAGGCATGCAGCCCCTTCAAAGCGAGTGGGAGCCAAAGGGCCGCCCGCAGGGTGCACACCAGCCTCGCTAGGGAGGATCCTCCACTTGGCCCATCTGCTGCGCACAGCTGGGCCCTGAACCCAGGGTTCCTCTGACACTGCTGGAGCCAGAGCCAGACCTTGGGTGGGACCTCTGCACCCAGCACCTCTCCCCAACTACAAAGCCAGCTCCCGCTGGCTTGCCTGCTTCTTCAGCTCTGGCATAGGTGCTCCAGCCTCACCTGCTCTCCAGATGGACCCCAACTGCTCCTGCGCCACTGGTAAAGTATGCCAGGTTTCGGGGCCTTTAGGATCCCTGATTTTTAATGGGGGATTAAGAAAATGCAGAAGGCAGGTGCATTTTGAGCTCTACCTAAAGTGGATTTTTTTTTTTTTTACTTTGTACTTCTGTTGCTTTTTTTCTTACCAGAAACCTTTATTATTATCACTGAAAACCTTACCATGGTCCCAGTGCCTCCCATTTCCAAGGAGAGAGGAATGAGGCTCAAAACTGCCCCTGCTCCAGGTCACCCATAGGCCAGAGGTATGCTGAGCTGGGAGCCAATGCTCTGTCCAGCATTTGAGCTGCCTGGGCAGGTAGGGAGGTGGGAGACATTGCTTCTTCAAGATTCCCCACTTAAGTCTCTGTGTCGTATTAAAAAGGAGGGCACCTGCCCATTTGAGCCTGTGGGGAGGGAAGCTGGGCTTCCCGTGCCTGGATGGAACTAGGTAACAGGTTTCCCGTGCAGTGAGCAGGATGCTGAGAGGCTGCTTCTAACCTTGCACCACACTCACTGCTCACTGCCTTTTTCTCTTCTCTGCAGGTGGCTCCTACACCTGCACCAGCTCCTGCAAATGCAAAGAGTGCACCTGCACCTCCTACAGGAAGAGTGAGTTCGGGGCCTTCCCTGAGAATCTGGGGGCTGAGCAGAGTCAGAGGAGGGAACCCAGAGCTTAGTGGGCAGGAGCGGGACAGTGACCAGCTTTCCACATCTCCTTTCCTGGCAACTGATTCAGGATCACAGCTGGAAAAACAAGATGGTTGATTCCCAACTTTCATTCTTAAAATAGGGAAACTGAGGCCACACGAATGCACCAGCCTGCCAAGCACAGACCTGATACTTCAGGACTTTTCTCACTTAAGTCAATGGTTCTGGGGAACTGGTTTTCCTTTGTCTCTGTCACCCCAGCCACTGCCTCTCCAGTCTTCTGTCCTCTCCTGGGTATAGGTTGTGCTGGGCAGCTTTTCACTGGAAGACCCTCACTCCAAAGATCCAGCTGATTCCTCATAGAGCAATGCCACTGTAGACTAAGGGTCCTCTGGAGCTGGACATAGGGCTTGAGCCAGGCCTCTGTTGGGGCAGAGAGGTCTTTAGTCAAGTCTGCTCTGACCTCTGACTCTCCCCTTC